ATAAAAAAGAGGCAGGATAAATGCAAGATCAACCTGAACTGGACAAACTCTGGCTCATCAACTATGTATGTCCTTAAATTTTGCTGTTGATTCAAATTAACCTGACTTTACAAATGTTTAAACCATTTTTTAAAAATCTGGCTCTAGGAAAGACTGTTGTCATGCCCATTGGTATATATTCTGTTATATTCAATGTCATCCTTTTTCACTTAACTTTTTAACCTATGTTATCGTTTTTAACTGTACAATTCCCAGAATGGTATAAATATAAATAAACAAATAGTCTCCAAATTCTATATTCTTTGCTCTCTAGGTCTTTCAGCTGCTGTTAATATCTTTTTTTAATTGGACTCTCCATCTTACATTGTACATCTTTCCCATAAAAAAATTAATATTCTGTGACATCTGCCTGTACCTGAGACCACTGACATTCTCATTTCTCTGTATTTTCAGTTAAAAGCACCCAAGTAGGAAAGTTACAGAAGCTGATGATATCATAGGGTACAAACAAGCAAAGGAGCAGCAGTGTAATATTGTCTGTTCTTTACTTCATTTCACATGAAAAATAAATCAAGACAGACAATTGGAAGATTAGCAAACATCATGGCTCTCTTTAATAACATGATTTAGCCTATCTATTGGGATATTAAAACACTAGAGCATGCTTTTCCAACCTCTGCACTAATAATTTGGCTAAGTGAGAAAAGGTGGAAGAGTGAAGGAAATCTACAAACTTTTATCTATTTTAATTATTAAAGTTGTATGTCCCCCACATCTCTCAAACTTTACTCTCTAATTTCACACAGTTTCAAATGCAACATTTCCTCTCCCACTAGTTGCTGACAGTTTTGCATAGACAGGCACCAAGATCCTGTCACACTTTCTAAGTAAAACCTCACAGCTCTGGAATATTCTCCCAACTACCCCTTTTCATACAGCTTTTGATTAGCCATTAGAAATGTGGGACTTCCAGGAGGCATTTGAGAATGATGAGGGAAGATCATACAAAGGATAAGTATGCTAGGTTGAATGCTCTCAGTTACTCTTTGATGGTTTTTAATCCTGCCGTAAGATGTACTGGCAGAATATCTCCATATGTAAACAAACTAAACAACACAATGACTTTCTATATAACTTTCTTTAACAAACTATCTTAGCCCTAAGGTGGCAGAAGATCAAGCCCACAGTATTTCTGTGATAAGGTTGATCTACTTAATCAATCTACAGATGGAAAAATATTCTTCCATCAGCACCTACAAAGGCAAAGATTTCCTTGAGCTGGGATTGATTCTTGATGACTTCATGAAGATAACCATGTAGCTTTCCTAGCAGCAATAGCTACAGCTGCCTTCTAGAATAAATCTTTATCTTTCCAGATTAGCATAAAGTCCTAGGGTAGTTGCCTAACAACTTAAGGTTTCCCATCTATGTTGAAACTTCCGGTTTGAGCTTCTTCAGCAACAGACCAAAACCGTGACTCTGCGCGGTTTCGATCTGTGCTCGCCTCTGGAGCGCCCCAAGCTGGCTGGTTTCAGGGCTAAGCCACCCCGTAGAGGTGGTGAAGAAGGGGGAGACTGCCTGCAGGGTTGAGGAGAGCCGCATCTCTCCTCCTCAGCTGGCCATTACTCCCTTTCCCGAAGGCGGTTGCAGTGGTGGTCAGAAATGGCCACCACGAAGAAGAACTCGACCGGAAAAGAATGTGCAGGAGGAAGATAAGAAGAGAAAGTTTTGGTTGACCGGGTCAAACAGCAAAAGCAACAAATAAGGTACCCTGGAATTGAAACTATTAAAAAATAATAATAACACTGTTCCCAAAGAAGATTTCTAAGCAGTGAAGGAGAGAGAAAAGGGAAAGGATTTGGTTTTTTTTCTCTTCTTCCTATACTGACAGCTAAGAGACTTAAGCAAGGAATTGGAAAAAAAATCCACTTTAACATTAATAGGCATTTAATGCTGAAAATAAAAAGTCAAAGGGATAATAAAGATTTCTGGATAATTAAAAGCTTTTGAAAACAGGAAAGGAGAGAAAAAGAATAAAAGGGCAGGATATGGAAGGGAGGAGACTGTCTGGAATTAAAAAGAACTTACAGTAAAATCTCAACAAGACTTTCAAAAGATACATCTTAACTGAAACATCGCAACAAAATAGGAAAACCCCAGGAGCAGAAAGTGAAAAAACAAAATAAGAAGAAACAGCTTGGGACTATTTGGATTATTTGGTGATCTCTGGATTCTTGGTTACTGCATTTGAATGACTAAAATCAATCGGGTGGTTGTTTAAAACTGTTTAAAATGGCTCCACTTTTAGAAGAATTGAAAATGGAACTTATAAAGTACAAAGAAGATGCACAAGAAGGGAGAGGTTCTTTTGGCTTTGTATTTTAGTTCTTGGAAATGGAGATTTGGAAGTATGAAAAACAACAAGAAATGCCTGCAGAACAAGAAGATTGGGACAAAGAAGAAGCCATCTTTAATGAATAAGTAATCTTAGTTGGGGGAAAAAGGGAAAGGGGGGAAAGAGAATGGAAAGATTGGGAAGATTGGGGAAAAGATTGGGAAAAACAACCCCAAAAAAGAATAGAGTGAAAAATAAGTATAAAATCAGAAAGCAACAGAAGAGGGAAATGCAGAAGAGAGAATTAGAAGTAGAGAGACAAGGGGGTAAAAAGGGGAGGGAGAAGAAGAGAAGGAAGAAAGAAAGGAAAAGAAGTTATAAAGGACAGAAACAAAATATAGAGAAACAGGGCCTATTTAGAGATAATGAGTGAAAATCTAATTGAAAAAGGGATTCTGCAAAGGTACATTACAGTATTGTTATATTAGAAATAGAAATAATTTCAGAAAATATGAAACAATGTATGATTAAAATGTTTGATAAAATAGTTATTGTAACTTAGGGGAATGCTTGTCAATAAATAAATGTACAAAATGAATATTTAATCATTTACAAAACATATGTGAAGAGAAATAAGGGAAAAATTAATTATGGAGATTATATGTGTCTTTAAGGAAGTATGATATTTAATTGAAAAGAAATGTTAAAGATGTTAAGACTTAATGAATATTAATGAGAGAACTGAATTGGAATGGAATGAGGGTTTTAATTACATATATTTACAATCCTTTTTTTTAAGAATATAGTATGTATTATAAGAATGTACCAAGCAGAATTCGATTGGAAGTTTTGTATTATATTGAATGTCATAACCTTAAGGTATATATCGAAGTTTAAATAAGAGTTGAATGGATAAAATTAAAAGATATAAAGGTGTCATACTCCAATTAGTAACTACAGGAGAAAATTTGTTTAATGAGAAAAGATAATATGAAATCGAAACAGAACAGACAAAAGTATAAATATAATGATTTGAATTGAGATGAGATAATCAAAATAAAATTGAGAAAATTAAAAGAGGGGAAAAACTATATAGAAAATGCAGAATAGTAATAAGATATGGAATAGAACACAAAAATGAGCATGAAATTGAGTTTGTGTTTGTATAAAGAAGTGCAACTTGGGACCATGCTATTTTCAAAAAAGATGTTTAACTTGTATTTTGTGTGTGTGAAAACCCAGATAAAACTTTATTTTTTTAAAAAAAGGTTTCCCATCTATGTTAAATACTAATACTAAATACTAACTGCCATATTGTTTGGGAATAAACCAAGGTCAGCTGAGTTTTAGTGACAGCCAGCATCTTTTTCAGACCCTGAAAAACTGTACAATTGTTCACAGTGTCCAGGCATCAAACCTGAAAACTTTTAAAGGAAATACCTTTTATTCTTTTTAAAAAACTAAATATCCATTTCATCTTGAAATCCTACACAAGAACATGGAGATCTAAGACATTTAGCTATCTTTTAAGATCCAGGCTACTTTTGTTTTTTCAATATATAAGGTGGATTTTTAAATTGGGGTGCCAATCTCATGGTATCATAACTGCCATAGTTCATATGTTGAATGTTCCTATTCTATCATCTCGCTATCTATCGTCATACACTAACCATCATGCTTTCAAATAGAAATTAGAAAGGAAAATGGGACTCCGATGCGTTCATTGTTCTTTAGCAATTAGGATCCATGGAATAAAAGAGCAACAGTAGCTATATCAGAGAGACTTTGGAGAGGGATAGTAAAAGACAGAGCTTTGCATATAATTTCACATTCTCTCTGTAAGTATAATTGTGCAGACATTCGCTCCTAGCACTGCCTAAGTATTCATTATGATAGGATATGGGGCATTTTCAACATTTTCAATGCTCTTTCCTGTTCTGCTTATATTTTTGTCTTATAGGTTATTGTTTGCCTGACTGAACCCCTTCTAGTCACCCCAACCCATTCCCTACCCCTTTCCTCTCTCCATATAATGCTTCATCCCTTTGAACAAGAAAGAAATCACAAAGCTTTGATAGATACTCTGGATAAAATTAAGAACTTCAAACTCCCAGGTTCTGACCCCCTGTTTCAGAAAAAAAGAAAAACAGATGTCCTGTTTGTTAAGTATAAATAACTCCATACGTTGAAACCTTTCTTTTACGCTGCATTAGATTTTATTTAATGCAGGGTGCCCCTTCAGCTATAAGAAGGCAGAAAGTGAGCAAACATGAAGGGTGACAAAGCCCTAAATCTTGCTCATTTCCCCCTAGGAGAACAGAAGAAGACAGGAAAGGAAAGCTTTCAGGCAGATGAAAGAACTCCAGATATCTTGGCCAAACTAGGAGAAAGGGCGGTACCCATGAACTAAAAACTTCAGCCAAAGTGGATTTGGGTGGGAGGGGAGGATTGAAATATTGGTCTTTTTTACGGCCCTACTTAAAGTGTTCCTATGACAGGCAAAGGAAAAGTAGTTCATTTTTTTAATGCAATCCAGCTCTGAAGCAACTGCCCCACATGCACTTAATGCATTCCAAACCTGGATGCCTGGTACCACCAGGTTTCTGTCAGCACTCAGGTGCCCTCTTTTGAGAAATACCATGGAGCTTCCAGAACACGGACTTACGTGAGCACATAGTTGACGCTGACGATGCAATGGGGCCGGGAAGACCGGCTGTTGTGAACGATGGTGGCGTAGCTCTGCACCCAGACCCAGCCACCTTGTTTGGCCAGGAAACGGTAATATTTAGTGGTGACTTGCCCTTTCACTAGCACTGAAAAAGAAAACAGTAGCAGATTTAATTAAGGAAGGGATATCACAGAGTCTCTCAGGGTAGAAGACCAGCATATAGACCATGATACTTATGATTTATATCTTGTTTTTTTCTCCAGGAGCTTAAGGAACATACTTTGTATTCCTTTCTACAAATTGACCAAATTTCCCAATGAGCTTTTTTAAAGTGGACTTGAACCTGAATTGTACCTGAACAGTTCTAGTCCTCTAATATTGCGTTGTAAAGGCTCCATTTTATCAATGCTTCATTGACATTTTATTAATATTCAGGAAACCAACTTCTACCCAACCAGTCAATAGCCGGCTTCATGAAGATAAAAACTGTGGAAAGACCATCAATGCATTCTATAGAGCAGGGGTCTCCAACCTTGGCAACTTTAAAGACTTGTGGACTTCAATTCCCAGCCAGCAAAGTTGAAGTCCACAGGACTTATAGTTGCCAAGGTTGGAGACCCCTGCTATATAGCACATAAACTGATTTACTTTTCAAAAAGAAATACTTCTTATTCCCCACAACCTGTTCATTTGCTTTGTACATAGTCATTCCCTTTACTAGGGAATCCCCTCATAGGGATTCTGCAAAGTCCATTAGTTCCATGAACAGCATAGGAACCATAAATGATTATTAACAATGCAATTCTCCATATGACTGCTAAGAAGTAAGCTGAAATGAGTTCAATGAGACTCCCATATTTACAGAGTACCTGCCCCTCTTCAACTTGGTGCTGACCAATTTACTGGGAGCTACAGCCCAATACATCTGGAGGGCTCCAAATTGAAGAAACTAGTATGTAGAAGACTACTTATAGAAATCTATGTCTCAGAAATATGTATCAGAAGTCTACATTTCTATTTATCAGAAGTAAATCCCAGCAGTTTGGGGGATTTCAGTTATCTAAAATTGGCTATAAAATTGCAGCACCTGACTGCTTTCCAGATAATTATTAATCGGTTACAAAATGAAGTTTCAGAATGCAATTATTTAATGACAGTAATAGAAGTAGCAAGTAATTTAAGTATTCAATGAGCTATTTTTGCAAATACTTTGTTAATCAATATAATGGCTTCAGATTTTCTAGTATTACAGTACTAAATGGTCCTGGACAGTACTTGATTTTCTTTAGAGTGCAATAATTTCTATAAGTAGATGATCCATTCTTTTCAATAAATGACCAGCATAATTCTCTATTTTATAGGGTATTAAATGTGTAATATAAATTCTTTCCTGGTCTCAATTTTGCTTATAAAATGAAGCATTGAAAACCTGGTTTTGCAAGAGATTTGAAAGGACTAAAATTAGAGCATTTTACAAGTCATTCTGAATCTTGTATACTTAAAAGATGGTTGAAGTGCATGTATTACACAGGACTTCAAAAATTAAAGGTATCACATATGCATAAAGCCAAAAAAGTGGCTTCAAACTTTAAACCTCGTTATTAATTCTAGATGGTGTCTTAGCACTCGTGTGATCACTTTTGCTACATGTGGAGTTGAAACATTAGAAGAGGTTTTACCTGATGTTTTTCCATTTACAGTATGGCAGAAGACAAAAGACACAGAACTCAAGTAGGGGACTGGCAAACTATGGAAAGCAATGAAGCAACTTTCTTTGGGAAAGTAGATCCTATCCTAACCTGAAAAGCTATCCTAGCTCATTGACCAGGAAGTTAAGGTAAAATCAATGGTATTATACCATTGTGCATGTAGTTTATAAAATAGATTTTAGTTGTCAGAGTGAGTCATAAGAAAGTAAGAATGACCAAAATACCAAACCTCCCTTGATTTGAACACTTCTGGATCAACAAAGGATTTCACTGTAATTGCTCATTTAGAATTGAGGTGTTACTCCATAGATGCCACTTTTAAATCAATCTCATGCACTATTCTTAACCCATCACAGAACAGAGGAAAGTCAGGGGCAGGGGAACATATTGATTGCTGAAAATAAACTTTCTAAGAAGTGGAGCTGATTATTCCATTTTCTTAATAGGTCTCAGGTTCTTTGGGGAAACATGTTAAGAAATCCTCTTGGAAACATAATCTGTCTTTCCTTTCCTTTCCTTTTTTCTTTCTTCTAAAAATCACCATGAATATTTGTAAAACTTCATAAGCTTTCCCAAACTGATATAAACTTTCTCAAACTGGCATTTTTAAAGATGAATTGGAATTGCAGATTTTCTTGCCCACCAAGCATCACCTACCAATGAGATAAGCAATCAAAAATTGCTTTCTTTAACATGTGTGTGTGGGGAAGAGAAAGTGGGGTGAATAGGTGATTTAAGTCACACAGCACGTTTCCTATATGGTCATGTAACTTCCCCCTTGCTAATTTAAATAATGCACCACATAATTTGCATTCTCATGCTATTGTCATTTAAAGTTATAGCACACTTTCAAAAAATAAGTGTATTTAAAGAGCCTACATCATGTGACAAAGCTTTGGGAAATAGCAGTTAGACATCATGTGAGTCTCTGGAGAAGCCAGATATCTGGTTTCTCTCTTCCAATCTAAATGAAAATTGCCATGGAGGACAGTGTCCAGTGATCAAAGGGGAGGAGGGCTATAAAGTGTGCAAGATCATGTTCATGGCAACAAAAAAAAGTTGGCAAAAGATGGAAAACCCTACTTCAAAACTGGAACAGCTAAATATGATTTTAAGCTGCCTCAGCTCTGAGCTATAGACAAAGGTAATGTTACAAATATATGGTATATGAAAATAGTTACTAGACACTTCTTTGTTACATTTAGGGGATATGAGAATGATTCCTCAGTAGCTTTCTGTAGCAGCCAGAAGAATAATTTGTTTCTACTATCACTATTTATGTATTGATTGATTGCTTTAGATCCCACCTTTATTATTATTATTGTATAAACAACTCAAGACTGCGAGCATATCCAACACATCTTTCTCCTCTTATTTTCCTCACAACAACGCCATGAGGTAGTTTCGATTGAGAGACAACAACTGGCCCAAAATCACCCAACTGACTTTGATGGTTAAAGGTGAGAGTAGAATTCATGGTCTTCCTTATCTACACATGGTGTCCTGTCTATCCTACAGTTTTACATACATACATACACACACACACACACACACACACACATAGTGTTTATATGGTGGTGCAGTAGTTAAAATGCAGAATTGCAGGCTAATTCTGCCAACTGCCAGCAGTTCAATCCTGACCAAGTCAAGGTTAACTCAGCCTTCCATCCTTCCGAGGTTGGTAAAATAAGGACTTAGATTATTGGGGGCAATATGCTGACAATGTAAACCACTTGGAAAGGGCTGTAAAGCACTATGAAGTGGTATATAAGTCTAAGAGCTATTGCTATTGCTAGAAGTGAGTTTCATTGAATTCACTGAGGTTCATTCCCAAGAAACATTAGATTGTTGCTTTTGTCATTGTTGTGATTGTTATTTCCCTAGTGGTTAAATATCCTTCTAGAGTCATCCATTTGTGTTATAATAATAGACATGAGCATAGGCTTTCTATTACTTCAAGAATAACTGGTTGATTCTAAGAAGTCAGTACAAGTCATTATCCCAACATTCACTGCAGATATAGCCAAAGATAAAAATGGAAGCAAGCAGAAACCATAGCATCTACTGCTAATAATAGTACAATACTAGGGAAATACTGTGTGGAAAGGGTAATGTTAGGAATTCAGTAGTTGTGAGCCAACAACGCAATTCTTAGTAGATCAGACAATGCTCCTTTAGGCAACAAATTCATTTCTTGTATAAAACATCTTTAAAAGCTGATATTTTTCTTTTATGAGATTGCATCTTCAGCCTCTGCTGCCATGTACTCAATGGATGGGAAAATGACAAGAGGATGTACTCTTGTGCAACATATTGAAATCAACAGTATCTACTGAAGAAGACAATTTTTTTAAAAAATGGTGATTTTAAAGTCCCACTTCTTTGTATGCGCGTGCAACATCAAGAGACAGACAAAGGGATGGGACTTTGCTCATGTGGCCACGATAGCCATCATGGCTTAACTAACTTCCTCAAAGTGTGCCTGACTAGAACCACAGGAGATATTGCCCTTTGCAATCTCTATCTCTCCCCCTCCCACCTTCCCTTCCCTTTTTTCATCAACCTGTTAAAATATATATATCTTGGTTTTGTTATCCATCTCTTTCCAACTATGTGTTGAGACTGTCTTACTAGCAAAGGTGAGTTCAATTGCTCTTCTGCTTGGAAAAGTCCCAGCCAGTCAGCCCACTTTACTTTGGGAGTAAGTCCCTCTGAACTCAGTGCGACTTACTTCTGAGTAAACAGGGCTCAGCTGAGGGCTTCAAAGGCTCAAAGGGAAGAGGCTTCTTACGCAGGTGGTGAGCGCAGCGCAAATGGAAAGTGTCACAGCCGTGGACATGATGGTACAGTGTCTTCTCAATCAAGTCCTGAGGTTCATAACCAGTCAGCTCAGCTACCCTACCCAGAAAGAGAGAAAGGGGGAGAGAGAAAGACAAAGAATGAGATCAGCTTCATACATCACGCCAAGCCAGATTTTTAATCATAGTTTGTTAAATAAGCCTCAATAAGGTTCGGTTTACCAGCAGACTAGATCAAAATCAAAGCAAACCAACCCTATTACTGTACAGGTAGTCCTCAATTTACAGCAGTTTGTTTAGTGACTGTTCAAAGTTAAAATGGCCCTGAAAAAAACCTGACTGATGACCGTTTTCCCCACTTATGACCATTGCAGCATCCCCAGACTCACATGATTTTATATTCGGATGCTTGACCACTGACTCGTGTTTATGACAGTTGCAGTGTGCCAGAGTCATGTGGTCCCCTTTTGCGACCTTCTGACAAGCAAAGTCAATGGGGAAGCCAGATTCACTTAACAACCATGTTACCAATTTAAGGACTGCAGTGATTCACTGCGGTGGTGAGAAGAATTGCAAAATGGGGCAAAGCTCACTTAACAAATTTCTCACTGAGCAACATAAATTTTGGGTTCAATTATGATCATAAGTTGGGGACTACCCGTATTAAAGTCAGATGGAAACCCAAATAGATTCAGAGAAGAAAGGGGCAACCAGCCACTTTATCTTATTTGGGCTATTGTTGGTCTAAAGTAGGGGTGTCAAACTGTTGTCGTCACATGACGTATCACAACTTTTTAACCCTTCACTAAAATGGGGGTGCGTGTGGCCAGAGCATGACACATGACGCAGCCCCCAGGTCACGAGTTTGACACCCCTGGTCTAAAGGAAGCTCAAGTGATGACTTACCGTGAATCAAGGAAGATGAGCTTCATATCTAGGCTGGCCCGAAACATAAACATATTGCTGTGCAGCTTAATCTCCGTCACAGCACTGGGGGGTAAGGAGTGACCCACTGCTACCAGTCCAACATTTTGGTAGCAACCATCAAAAGGGGACATGTCCAAGCTGTACTGGCGGATCTTTAGGTAACCACTGCAATGAATCACCTGTCAGGGGCAAAGAGACAAAAGATTTTTTAAAAAAAGTCATGTCAATGCGACAACGGTTCACATGACAAGGTCTGTGAGTGATCCTACTGATCTACATAACAGAAAGCCCCCCGCCCCCGCTTTCAGGTTTCTGTCACAGCAAATACTATGCAAATGATGGTGCATCAGGGCCTAATCACAGGGCTAACCAGGTTTTCCACATGCTGGGCACACTAGAATGACATGCATGTCTGAATGGGGGAATTCCAAGAGGAACATGGATGATATCTCTTGCCCACACTTCAGTGCTTCTCAGTAGAGCACCCTGTGGTCCATTTTGTATCTTCTCATTGCTCCTCTCTTTATACATTTATTTATATTTCCAAAGAATCACCTTTGGTGCGCCCTGACTGAAGTTAAATTATATTCACTGCCAGCCTTCAACTATATAGTAACAATCAAATAACATGCACCCATGTTCCAGCAATCCTAATAATGAGCCCTCAACAAGTATTCTTTTACCCTCAAGCATGGAATAAAACCATTACTTCTAGTTGTATTTTCAGCACACAATCCCTATGGACGTTGATTTTGAAATAAACCCAACTATCCTGTGGGATTTGTATATAGAACTTAAACAATTTCCCTTCTTGTGAACCACAGTGTGCAACAGTGTCATCTAGCCACCGTTAAATAAATTCATGGCGTTAATGATTTTATAGGGCATTTCCTCAGCAGCAATTTATAGCTCTTCTAACATTACCCAGCTATTATTCTAGCGATATAAAACCTGCTTTTCTTCCTTCCCTTGGATCAGCACACTGATGGTTGGTGTGTGCTAAAATTTGCTATTAATTTCTAATGAAGGAATGGCCCATAAGTTGCTGTAAATCACTAATGTGATCATGAGCATAGCCTAAGGAGCTGTAGTGAATATAACCTGGTTGGAGGGATCTTTCCTTTTAGTAGAGAAACGTATGTTAATATGCAAGAATTCAACAGGATTACAGCTTTGTAACAGCTCATTGAACTGTATGGGTTTTGAGACAGGGTATATTAATGGCTGGAGGGACAATATGGAACAAGAGGAGAGATCTCGGCTATATAAATAAAAACGTCCAAAGAAAGATTGACACACCAATGCCAAGAACCAATGCCAAGAAATAGTATAGACTTCCTTAGACAATTCAGTTATTTTCATTCAACAAGTAAATACAATAAGGCCCCTTGAAGCCCTATCTTTTTCTTCTTCTTGAAAATAATTATTTCATAGGCTTTCTTTCAGTTATGAATGTCCTGCAATCAATGAGGCTTAGACAAAAACCTCTTTGGTAGTGTTTTCAAAGCTCAACCTTAAGATTGTAAACCTCTTCGGTAGTGTTTTCAAAGCTCAACCTTAAGACTGTAGCCTTAAGTAAAATTCTAATTTTCAATCTCCACTGGGGAAAAAGAAATCCCACTGACAAAACAAAATTCAGCCCTTAAAATTAACTGACAATATCCGAACATGAATTCTTTAGGATCTCCCTACCAAATAAGAGTCCTTGGAGTTGGAATGTACATCCGGTGATTTTTAGCATGCAAGCCTACAGCCATTCAGTGCACTGAGAGTTTCTCCATAACTGTAATGAAAAAGGCAAACTTGTTTTCTCTATGCTGGGGATGTATAGATTTCCCTGAATTTATGCCGAGTGAAATCATGGGGGCTTAAGTGGATTTCAGGGGACTTACTCCCAAGTATGCAGAGGATTGCTGCTTTACAGACTAATCCTATGCCTGTTTACTCAGCTATAAATTTCACAGTGCAGGGCTTCCTCCTAAATAAGTGTGGGCGACATCTCTATCTTAATTAGCATGAAGTCTCAGAGGAAAAACTTCCTATCTGCAAGACAAGAATGTAGCCATTACTGGGACCAACAATTTATTTTCCAAAGTGCCAGAAGGCAAGGCAAGACAAGAAACAACAGGTGGAAGCTAATCAAGGAAAGAAGCAACTTGGAATTCAGGAGAAACTTCCTTACAGTGAGAACTATTAACCAATGGAACAGCTTGCCTTCAGAAGTTGTGGGTGCTTCATCCCGGAGGTTTTTAAGAAGAAATTGGACCGTCACTTGTCTGAAATGGTATAGGCCAGGGTCTCCTGCTAGAGCAGGGGGTTGGACTAGAAAACCTCAAAGGTCCCTTTCAGCTCTATTCTGATTAATTGAACTTCAAGACCTCAAAGGAAAATCGCTGACTCTTTCCAGATAGGCTGGGATTGCAACTTTCAGAGCTGCCAGATTCCAATGTCAGGAATTTGCTGTTTCTGCCCAAATAAAGAGCACCAAGTTGGGCAAGCTGGGGATACTTGGAGTTAATAGCATAGTAGCACTGCCGATGTCTATGAAGATTCTCAGTCATCCAGGTGATGGTTGTCCCAAAGGTGGTTTCTCAAGAGGCAGATGGACTTCCTGGTTTTTCTTTGAAGACGTTTCACTTCTTATCCAAGAAGCTTCTTTAAGTCAGAGCTGAAGAAGCTTCTTGGATGAGAAGCGAAAAGTCGGTCAAAGAAAAACCAGGAAGTCCAGCTGCCTCTTGGAAAAGCACCTTTGGGATAGCACCGACGATGTTAGCTAGGTTTTTCAAACGAAACGCCTGCAAGAAAACAAATCAGGCTGAAAGGAACACCAAAGGACCCCCAAACTTCCAGTTTTTTTGAAGGCGCCTTTAACTGTTCACCTTCAGCCCGCCGGGGCTCCAGCCATTCTCAGCTTGGCCGCCAGTTGGCGCTCGCGCCACTACCTACCTTGTAGCCTCCACAGGTGAGGCCCGCGTTCCTCTTGGCCAAGACGCATTTCATCCGGAGGAAAAAGGAGCGCTCGATCTCATACTCTGTGAGGCAAAGGAGCACAATGCGCATGTCAGGGATGAGGCTGCTTCCCCGCTCCCCGCCCGCTCCGCCGCCTTCCCCTCCCTGCCTCCCTAGGCTTCCCCGAGCGTCTTACCCTGAACGAAGTGGGAATGGTAGGGCTGATGGGCGGTGAGGACGGCGGTCATCTCGTCGTGATCAGCCGGGTGGATGTATTCGTAAATGCTGTTGCCGGTCAGCTCTACCTGAAAGAAAGGAAGCGGATCGCGGGGAGAAGAGCGCTGCTGCGTGTTGCGGCAGGGCTGCCGGTTCGGACCAGTTCAGCCACCCCGGTGGGAGGCTGGAGGAAGAGGCTTTGGAGCGGGAAGACCCCCGATCCACACAGGTTCCATTCACCCAAACCCTGGATTCGCACATGCTCTACTTAGGATTTAACAGGCTGTCTTCGTGACCGTTCAAAGCTACACTGAAAAAAGTGACTTATGACTTATAAATGTTTTCCACATTTAGGGACCATTTCAGCATCCCCACAGTCAAATGATCAAAATCCAGATGCTTGGCAACTAACTCACATTTATGAACAGTTGGGGTGTCCTCGGGCCCCTTGATCACCTTTTTGCAAGCAAAGGTGACAAGCAAAATCAATGGGGAAGCCAGATTCACTTACCATCTTGTTACTAATTTAACACTTGCAGGGGTTCACTGAACAACGGTGGCAAGAAAGGTCGTAAAATGGGGCAAAACTCACTTAACAATTGTCTCACTTAACAAGAGAAATTTTGGGCTTGTTTATGGTTGACTATCTGTATTGTGTGAACCCAGGTCTTGTGAATCAGAGTGCTTGGGACTATATAGTGAATGGCCATTAGGCTTTTGCTTGCAACCAGCAAGCTAACAAACATTCAACAACTTCTGGCCCTCCAGGCCAAGATCTTCAACTTGTTTTGAGGGATGGTGGCATGAAGGATCTTCATCATTGAAGGGCCAGAGGTTACAGGAGGCTGCAGATGTTGGACAGAACCTTAAATGGGAATTTGTCCCAGGGTAAGCCATTAAATTAAATAACTAATCTTGACATTCCTCTGCTTCCTGTGGGGAAAAAAAAGTATCCTTTCACCCAGAAGGCAAGGAAGACAAGGCTGGGCCTAAAGATTTTTCCCTGCATCAGGTTTTCTATGTGGAGATAAGCAAGAGGGTCGAGGAGTTCTAGTCCAGTTTCACTGCAAGTCAGTGGGACTTGAGAAGGCCAGCCTCTTGAGGCTGCAATTTAACGGGTGTTTAATCAAAACCAGCAAATCCCAATTAGCGGAATGGAATGCACCCCTGAAGTTTCAATTCTCTATAGTTCCCTGGAATAACTACCATTGACTCCAAGGCAAATTGGACCAGACTGTTAGGGCAGCACAGTGAAAAGAGACTGAAGTTGGAAATCGAGGCATAATAATTTCGATCACCCGCTTTATTCCAAAGAGGTGCCCCAAATGGCAGCTTATCCCTTATTGCTCTTGGTGCCCTTCTGGTCATTGTGAGAAGACCTGAAGTCAACCCTGAGGGCCTCACTGCACTCCACTGGAGTTGCCTTCAAGTGGATTTGAAAACAGGTTCTTTATTTGGAATCGGATGGATTCAAGGCATTTAGAAAATGCAGCTTCCTAGGAAGGACTTTCAGAAGTCTTGTCCACTGAACTAAAGGGGTGGGGGGAAAAAAACCCACCCTATCTCTTTAGAACAGAGGTCTCCAACCTTGACCACTTTAAGCCTGGTGGACTTCAACTTGCAGAATTCCCCAGCCAGCAAAGCTGAGTTGAAGTCCACCAGGCTTAAAGTGGCCAAGGTTAGAGACCCCTGCTTTAGAATACGGAATGGTCACGTTTTTAATGGGTGTTCCTCCCAGGGTTGATTTGACCACTGAATGTTCAAGATGGAGCATTTAAAAGGGGGGGGGAATGAACTTCAAAACGTTGTTCAACCTAACTTTGAATGCTGCAAATAATAATAATAATATTGGTGGCCTCTATTGAGATCGATTCCACTGGGATCATCAACGTACCTGCGATAAACCCAAGTGCACTGAGGCGGTCTCCGAGATATACATGATCTTGCCATCAGGAGCTACCACGAAAATGAAACCGTCCAAAGTCTAGAAGAAAGAGAGAGCAAAGAGCGATCAACTTTTCTCCGACCCCGGATAAAGTCCTGCTCCTGGCTCCGTTAACAAAAAGTGGAGAACTGCAAGCTCCATTTTTAACCATTTCCTGCCTGGCGATTTCAGTTCTTGTCGGAACTGCCCCCGCCCCAATCTGTGTGATGTGGACGTATAAAAGCTGTCTATCCCAAAGCTGCTTTTCCAAGAGGCAACTGGACTTTTTTCCTATGTGCCTCATGTCTTGCTCCAATAGTGGCTGGATGGCTCCAAAAATTGCAAATATGGAACGATTTTGGAGTGGTTAAGCCATTAGTCTAGAGACTGAGAGACTGAGTTCTAATCCCGCCTAAGGCACAAAGCCAGCTGGGTAACCTTGAGTTAGTCACTTATTCTCGGCCCTTGGAAGGAGGCAAGGGCGCAAAGTACTTCTGAAAACCTTGCCAAGAAGTATTTTTTCCCGGAGGTCTCTGAGAATCGGACACGGCTGAACCCGGAAAGCGAGCGAGCCAGCAAGAGAAAAAGGACGGTTGGATAGCGTATAAAACACAACTAAGGACGCCCACAAAGTAGAGGCTCAAGAAGGAGTTCTTTCTAGGAAAGTCAGGTGACGCGCCTCCTCCTTGCCGAGCCAAATCCTAACCACCTAGGCTGCAACTGCAGCCCACAGCTTCCGAAGGAAAGGGCTGCAACGTTACGCTCTAGTCCAGAGGTCTTCAAACTTGGCAACTTTAAGACTTGTGGACTTCAACTTCCAGAATTCTCTGGAATTCTCTGGAATTCTGGGAGTTGAAGTCCACAAGTCTTAAAGTTGCCAAGTTTGGTGACCCCTGCTCTAGTCCTTAGAAGCCTGGTTCTCCTTATGTCTGAATGGACCCCGGCTTCCATCGTTCCTTAACCCCAGCATCACCATGGGAATGATCGGGAGTAGAGTCCAAAATATCTAGAACGCATCAAACTGACGATAAACAAGGTTCATGGAGTAAGCTCTCTCTCTCTCTCTCTCTCTCTCTCTCTCTCTCTCTCTCTCTCTC